CCCCCCCCAAATATTGGCTTAGTGTATTTTTCGCACTATTCTAGGTGGTGATGGAGTATCTTCCTGGAGGCTCATTAACAGATGTTGTCACTGAAACGTGTATGGATGAAGGGCAGATAGCTTCAGTGTGTCGAGAAGTTCTTCAGGCCCTTGAGTTTTTGCATTGTAACCAAGTTATTCACAGGGATATTAAATCCGACAATATTCTTCTGGGTCTTGATGGCAGTGTCAAACTAAGTATGTTGGGTATTTTACGTGTCATTTTCCTTTTCTATTGTACAGTTGAAACTAATGTGTTTTTTTTTGAAATTTTCTAGCTGACTTTGGTTTTTGTGCACAAATTTCCCCTGAACAGTCTAAAAGAACCACTATGGTTGGCACTCCTTACTGGATGGCACCTGAAGTAGTTACACGCAAACAATATGGACCCAAGGTTGACATCTGGTCATTGGGTATTATGGCTATTGAAATGATAGAAGGCGAACCACCTTATCTTAATGAGAATCCTTTGCGGGTAAGTGCCTATTTTGTCCCTACTTAGTCAGCACTCAGATTTTCTCACCATCCACCAAAATGAACCCTTTCTCTTAAAAAGGGTGTATTTAATTATTACATTCCATGACTTGTCTTATGCTCTGAAATGGTTATTCCCTTTAGGCTTTGTACCTGATTGCAACAAATGGAAAGCCTGATATTAAAGAAAAGGAAAAATTAACTCAAATTTTCCAAGATTTTCTGGATCAGTGTCTTGAAGTTGAAGTAGAAAAGCGGTCTGGTGCATCAGAGCTACTGAAAGTGAGTTTATTCAACTATATTGTGTTGGGTTTATAGGCTTATATCATTTACATTTTTTTTTTTTTTTGTTCACAGCATCCATTCTTAAAACTAGCAAGACCCTTGGCTAGTCTAACTCCCTTGATAATGGCTGCAAAGGAAGCCGCTAAAAGCCACTGAGTTTTAATGACATATGAAGAAGGGGTTTCAGACTGCGTCTACTGGTGACCACTCATTCACTATAGGCTGTTTGAATTTGTAAATTTGTACTGTAGGCCCTAGTGTTCTAGCTGCCAAGATAAAGTTTATATATATACTTTTGTAGATGATATGTACTTTCAAACGATGTCACATTTCCACTGTATTCAAGGTCCGAATTCCTTTCTTGAATTTGCAGATGTAGGTATGAAGTGTGATTTCAGGGACAGTTCCATCTTATTTCTAAATTAATATCGTATAAATTATTTGGTCTTACACAAGATTTTGAGTGCCATTTTTGACTTTAAGACATCTGTGATTTTGAGGAACTTTGAAATGCTTTTAACTCTTAGCCATGGTCAAAATGAAGTTGATTCTGTGATCTAAAAAATGAAGGCAGTATGCGTTTGTTAATCTGTAGTGAGGAGTGGTTGCCTATCATGTACTGTATAGTGACATATCTAAAAAAGAAGGACATTATTTATGAAAATGATTATCTAATTTTACATCTATAATGATGTCATGCATTTATTTTAAACATCAGTCATTATGTGATGAAGAATACCAATTAAATGATTACTATATTGTAAATTTTTAATCCATGAATCTGAATGGATTATTTTTGTTTTTGTATAAAATGTCATGATTGTACTGATGTGTTTATTTCCTTCATAATGACTATTTTTTAAAAGGTCCCTCTGGACTATCCAGTGTGTTTCTCAATCAGGGTTGTCAAGACAAGTACCTCTAGATAGTTTGTCACTTTTTTCTTTTTCTCCTTGGTCTTTATGGACCTGGACATGCTTTTGAATATCTGATTGGTGCAATGGTGACATTGCCCTCTCTATTTTCAGTCTTTCTCTTTTCTTTTTATAAATTTTGTGTTATTTACTGGTATTATTAAGGCTAATGGGCTTATGATGTAGGATTGGGTAATTTTCATTGCGGCTGGCATTTGTTGACTGCTGAGTTTTTTAACTACCTGTCTTTTTAATCTGTGTCTTGAAAAAACAGAACCCAACCTCTTAAATTTTGTTTTGTTCTTTTTTTCTTTTTCTTTTTTTGTGTGTGTGTGTTCAAATCAACCCTGTAGAGGAGGACTGTTGCTTTTAACGTGACTGTTGGCTAAGGCATTGTGGGTGGCTTCAATTAGTCACAGTACATTTTGTATCTTTCATAAGATACCCAGCGATGTGTCCAGTTCAATGTCCTAACATTTGCTGTTTCTTTTCTTTGTTAGGTTGTGATCAAATGACAAGTATTAATAAGACCGCTTTCTTAACTTCATGTCTATCTCTGAATAGTTTTTATCACCTTTTGTTGTCTTTCTCAAGGATTCTTTTGCAGTTGCCAGTGCGTCAGTTATATACTCCTTGGTATTTTTTTAAAATTTAGACCATACCTGTGCTGTGGAAAAAGAACATTCTCTTCTCATTTTTTTACTTATGGTCTCCTAACTCCAATTAGAAGCACTATCTGCTGCTATCTATCTACTTATAAAGATTGTGTCTGCAATGTGTGATATATATCTTTAGCTGAGTCATGGAAGAGAATTTTTTTATTTACTCTGTAGGTAAAATCAAATTAAGTACACATGAATGTTTGTTTTGTTGCCATATTATTCTAAAATTAATTGCTGCATACTTACAGAAATCCCATGAAAAGCTCTGAGAAATCCAAATATTGAAATGATACACATTGTCAATTAAATTACTTTTATCAATGATTGCCTTTCATTATTGTATAGTTTTGGTAGCTTCTTTGTGCGAGCAATGTCTTCAAGAAAAGCAAGATTTAATTACTCAATCAGTTTTTGCTTATGCCCAGTGTGCTCCCCAACTTTTTTTAAATACCAGTTTTTAATTTTGCCTTGGTAACTTTATTTTATTGTACACATTTAGTAAATTAGGTCTCTCTTTGTTTTGTTTTATTTGCTCTTACAGTAACCTATTTAAAAGGTAAATAAAATATAGCTAGTATTGTTTGTATGGCCGGGCCTAATATTTGGCTACAGTACTGGTGTATTATCTAGCTATGTATAAGATTATTAAGTTCCGATGTTTGTCAGCAGCATATGGATCTACTTGTGACAATTGCCTAAACCGAAGGATGTGTAATGTAGTGCATTTTATTTTATGTTGCAAGTCAGCAGTATTAGATATTGGTCCTCTCTACCATCTTGTTTTAAGTGATGTACTGTACCTTCAGCCTTTTGCTTTGATGGAATTTTGATTTGAATTTCCTGCCTTTGTGATTTTAACTTCTCTACTTCTAGTTTAATCTTGTTTTGTTTTTCTCATTTTCTTTTTACTTTGATATACATGGAGTTGCAATTTGTCCATCACTATGAAAACATTCATAGTTTTAGACCAATCAATGCAGTAAAATCCTCTGAAAATAATAAGTATATTATTGGGTATTTTTATTATAATTGCTCTATTTCACGTTTGTAATATCCATTTTCTGTTCTCAGTCATGTATCTTTGCTTGTTGAATCCCTTCTTCAGAGCAGTAGTAATGGAGAGGGTGTGACCTAGCCACGCACTCGGAAAGTTAGCCTCACCCACTGCTTGTTAAGTTGAACAAAACTCACGTGTGGGGGTGCCATACCGTCGGAAGTGACGGAGACGGCTGAGCCGATCGGCAACTCGAGTTGCCACCGCGCCATGCGCTATGCGGCCGACCCCGACCTACCCAAAGTTCCCAAGAAAGACCTGGAGGAACATGGGTAGTCGCGGTCGCCGTCAATTTCGACGCCGTTATATTCCATTTTAACAAGCTGAGGGTGAGGCCCCCAAATTCGTGGCGGTCACGCCCACTGTAGAGCCTCCAATCTATGGACCACGCGGGGGGTGCCAGTCGGCACACGACACTTTCCATTAGTACCGCTCTGAAAGCACCACCAGCTGGCAATACACAGTAACACATGAAGTTTTAAAGGCTTCGGAAATGTGTATTTGGATTTGGGACTTCTGAAACTAAGAGTCCATGCGAGCATCACCAAAAGTGGGGGACCTAGTGTGTAAAAAGCCTAAAATCTGTTACACAGATTTATGAGTTTAGCATTGCCAGCTAGTGTGAAATGTCTGCGATGCGCAGAATTTGCGATACGAGACTATGGAGCTGCCCTTGCTTAAATCGTGTCAAACGCAATACAGTTTATGGAAACATCTGGAGGGTCGGTCCCCTGTCTGGAGGGTCCCACCTGAATGTTTTATTGCTTTTTATTATTTTTTTAATGTTTACATACTAATTAAATATTAAAACAGTGTTTACTACTTTTTTGCAAGGCCTGAGGTGTATAGAAGTTTTCCATCCCGCTTCTGAATGTTCTGTCTCTCGGGCTCTTGCTCTCAACGTGAGTGTTGCGGTCTGTCTAGTTGACATTTGGCTAAGAGAATTAGTGGCTGCATTCTCTGTGCAGTTGGACATTTTTGGAAGTGTTGAAATGTCTTACACTAACAAGTGCTCAACACATTCAAAAGTCAAAGAAAAATGCTACTGCGTTTCTTTTGGGTACGTCAAGTGCGAGGCAGTATTTGTTCTTTCAAAGGCACACAGTGCAACGCGGCACAAATTCAAAGGACTGTGTATTGAAGGTGATTCACCCTGCAATAGACATCTGCACTTGATGTAAGGGAACACATTAACATTTTTGTTTGACATTTTGATGAAAGTCCACGACATTTCCACACTTCAGAAAATGTGCTACTGAATAGGGAACACTAACATAAATTTTAATAGCCTGTTGTCAACTTAGAGATCGCTACTATTGAAGACAGATTACTGCTAGGAGCAAGAGCCCTAGATACAGCACAGTAGGAACCAATCTGAAAAATTCCTAGACCACTCTGACCTTTAAAATTAGTTGTTAACAATATTTTAATATTTTATTAATATTTCAATGTTAAAACTTACTTTTCTAACAAAAACTGTTAAAAATAGTTACAAATTCAGGGGGGACCCTCCAGGATCTACCTACAGTTTGCTTTCATCTACTTTTGTTACCAGTGGCCCAGTAAAATACTAACAGTTACATATGTTGGACTTACTTGCTTCCAAAAAATGATGAAAGTAGTTGAAATCAATTGACAATAAACTTTTAACCAGAATTTTTGTTTAGTATAATTTTGCATATAATAAACTAACTAGAATTGAGATTTCTGTTCCATCCAAGCCTGAGTTTGATATCTAATTATAGCCTTCTACATCCTGAAATTTTTTTTCTGACCTGTTCTGTCCTACATGTGCTCACTGTAGTTTCTTCTAACCAGTCCTACCATAAGATAAAGCACGTCCTTCTGCATTTTTTTCAATTCCCCTCCCTCTTTTTAGTTTTGGTTGTCATGACTGCCCTCTAGGTCAAAGGATAGAAGTAGTAGTTGTGAAGTAGTATTTTTTTAAGGATTCACTGTTACTTTGCAAATGGGTTTTACTGCATTTTGTACCCAATGCAAGTCACAATCATATTTTATGCCTGTATAGTATGTGTTGTTTTTTCATACTAAAATTTTTTACAGCTTTAGCTCAATCACAATTCTGTTAGATATTTTCTAAATGAATGAATTTCAGAGAATGAAGATTCCTGTTAGACCAAATCGTTAAATGCTCTTTTGTTTTTTCTTTTTTTAAATTTTGATATTGTTTTTAGTGGGTAAGGAAATTATTGTACATAGATTGTCTGTGTAAGCGCAAATGTATTCAGCCATTTGCAGAACATCTTAATAGGTTCTGTGTCAATCTATCTGCAGGGACTGCAAAAAGCTATGTCAGTGATGTGACATCAATTGACAACAATAACATGCTTTAATAATTTGTCAGATTTTTAATTTCAAAGACTAACCTTTTTTTATCCTCAAAACTCACCACAAAGGGGAAAGGTTTGGAACACAAAATCAGATAAGAGTGAGTGAGAAATACACCACATGCTTAGCGTCTCAAAAATATATTTATTAATAAATAGGTTTGATTAATCACTTAAAGTTGACTAGCTGTTACTGTATTAATTAGCTTTCACCCAAATTAAGTAGAATAGTATAAGTAGTAACATTGTAATGATCACGTGAAATGTCATACATCATCATCTTAAACAATCCAATATCAAACTGGTCACTTTCAAATAGAAAGTCAAGTACAAAGTAAATAATTGAACTCTCACGGTTGCACTTTAACAGGTACAAAAGTAAGAAGTTTAAGACCTTAACTCTGACCACCTTTAAAATATCCATACAAAAATATCCATCTTAAGTATGGACTGGTATTGAGTATCCATTGTCTTCCATAAAAAGTTATTCTTATGCTGGTGACCAAATTAAAGTGACTAAAATTAATAGCATAGAGAGCAAAATTTAATTTGTAAGTATAATTACAAAAGGGTGTGCTTGAGTTTTATCAATAGGTCCAAACATCAGCAAAAACATGTGCAAACTTTGGCTATCCATCAGGCATGTAATTTTCATGCATATACACTTGTCCACTTGTGTACCACATTTAAAATGCACCGCTTTTGTTGAATGTTGGTCCTATTTCCAACAATGTCTATTTTTCTTGATTTAGCAAACACTTAAATGAAAACAGATTTTTCTTAATTATAATCAGAGCAACACTACCTTTCACTGTTTTATAAGAGATTAACAGCCTCTGTACTTTATTACCTCAGGTAACAAACAAATTGTTAAATTACCCCCTCTTGTTAACCCGTAAAAGAGCCCTAATTGTCATTATTATTTTAAAAAATACAAATAATATCCAAGCCAAATAATTATCCAACTGATGAGGGATTTAAAAATGAGTGTTACAGAAAAAAGAGCACTACCGACAGTAAAATCCTGAACCAGTCGAAGGCCAAGAAGACTAACAAAGTGAGCATTTTCTCCAATTATGAAGCAGACGTAACAAAAATGTCAACTACACAGAAATTAACAAATTTTAATAATATAATTAAAGTATCACTGTAAGTTCACAAGGTTGGTACCAGACGGGTCACATTGGCGAAAGTCGAGGGATGCACTGTTGATGCAGAATCTCTTGCGCGACGGTTTGGGTCCATCGTTGAACACGTGTCCCAGGTGTGCACCGCAGTTGGAGCACGTCACCTCCGTCCGGACCATACCTGGGTTCGCGATCAATAATAGCAGGTTGGCTCCAACTGCATGGCACGGGTCATAGGCATGGCATAGGTCCGCGGATAAGGCACACAAACAGGGTGCCGAAGTGCGAAGTCAAGCAGCCACCAAGCAGGGAAGCACCAAGGTATGATAGAGGGGGAGAGAGGGAGAGAAACAAAGAGTGTGCAAGATAGAGAAATAGAAGTTAAAGATATAAACCAGCAAGTAGATATAACCATAATTTTAAAATTGGACAGGGCATATTATGCATTGCATACAGCAAAATATATGCAGAGTTGGAGAGAGAATGCCACAGAAGCAGATGTGGGGAGGGAGGGAAAGAGAAAAGAAGAACGATTAGCCTCCTCAGAAAGAAACATACTGCATGACAATATTCCCAAACCAAAACCAAAACGACCCAAACATAGCAATTGAAATTGAAAGACACGGGATTGATGAGGATCTTAGTGAGAGGGAGGGAGGGGGAGAGAGAGAGAGGGGGGCGGGGGGCAACCAACACCAATATTCACCAAGTTTAGAGAAGAAGAAAGTCTTTATTTTCAACTGTTGTTTTAACTATTTGCATGAGGCATATTAAGATTTTCAGTAAAATTGGTTCTTTAATAGCAAGGTGCATGCAACATCTCTGTATGATGCAAATAAGATGATCCCTGTACTTTTTGATACTAAAGCTGCACCACATGCAGCTGTTCCCTATCGTCACTATTGTCACAATCATTTACCACCCCTAAAGGCCTGATGATCCACTAGGTAATGGTCGAAAGGTTTCCGGTTTAGGAAAAAGAATGAAAAAAAAATCCTGATCAATGGTGCTCTATGGCCCCAAGCGAGTAGACAACCTGCATGGAAGCATGCGGTACAACATTTCTAAAATTACAGGGCCAGTGGTGTACACCCTACAGATAGATGTTCAAAGTTTAAATATTTATTAAATTCAACATTCTGAGGAAACCAATTAAGGCCTGCAATGAGCAAAGCATTCCCCTTTATGTCACTTTCCTCTACACTGTAGACACACCCCTTATTTTCAAACCACTATAATTAGAAATCCTTTAGCTTCAGAAGCTACAATTTAATTTTTCAATAAGACAGTCTCATTTTTTAATTACACATTACAGGCGTGATTTATTTATGGTTAAGATCAGTCTTTAATTGACTTACCGTGTGATGCATCCTTGCTGAGCTTCACTCGGCCTTGATCGATAACATCACTAAATGCTGGCCATCCACATCCAGATTCAAACTTAGTTGAGGATGAAAATAAGTCATGAGAACAAACAATGCAGCTGTAAATGCCAGCATCTTTAGTTTTGTTGTACTTTCCGGTGAATGCTCTGATAACAATTTGACAGATAATTACTAACAATCTATTGAAATAATAGTTTGACATTTTACTTATTAAATACCTTTCAGTTCCCTTTTCTTGAGTAACATGATATTGAATTGGACTCAGCCTTTTCTTCAATTCCTCTTTGGACTCCTTCCCTTTGTCAGACATATTTCTGTACATAACAAATCTTGTAAATAGTTTGATAATATTAAATAGATTTAAAAAACTTTTACAGCAAGAAGGCACACCTTTCTGCTTGTGCAGCTCCCAATCCACTCAAGACAGCAGCGTGGTTCCGTTTAAGAACAAAATTTCCAATGCGCTTTAAAATCCTGAAAAGAAGATAGCAACAGAATAACAATCAGAGTTGGTATTTACCAACCCTAAAAATGGAGCCGTGGCTCTTGGGGTGTATGGTACAATAAAATCAAATCAAAAGTTGCAAATTTAAATTTAAAAAATGATTTTACAAGTACTGAAACTGTTAAAAGAAATAATAGAAAATTTTGCACACATGAAGAGGTAACAGTATGAATTCGTCTTCATTGCACAACTGTCACATTATTGTAAAATGAGTCGATCACGAGTCAAAGTAGGACTTCCGATGAAAATCATCAAATATTCAAGAGAGAATAACTAAACTTGGATTTGCCAGCATGGATCCCTGCCACAGTTCTGTCTGCAAGTATAATTGCTTAGAGAAAGTGGGTTAACCTTGGTGCATTCCTTCTGAGCAGCCCTATGCCCAAAAATGGTAATACTCCAGATACTACAGAAATCAGATTTTACTGCTTAAACAAACTGCATAAGTGGGCCAGACTACGCGAACTTGGTAAAACTAAAGATTCTGGATATTTTACAATTTGGCTGCTAGAACAAATCTTAAAAAATAGTCAACCTCCTTTACTTACAGAGAACCAGTGACATAATTCATAGTTCCCAAAGAGCACAACAACAGTATTAATGTAATAAGGTTAGCAATCGTTCACACCTTAAATTTGATATTGAACAAAGATTCTTAATGGTCGCGTATTGACGCAACACAAGTTTTCTGGAAAGGTCCGAAATGTCGGCATCAAAATTCTACAACCATTCTGGTTTTCTGCTAGAAACGGATTTGCATCGTGATTCACGTGTTAGTAAACACTCATGAAAAATTTAGCAGTATGCTATACTAGTTCCGGGCAGTTCTCTGCTCATGCCGGATAAGATGGGACCAATCACAGGAGACCACGATTATCAACATTTGATCCTGGTAGGGCCGCACGGGGCCGCAGGGTACTGGCACTGTCAGCCTTTTAGCGGAATGACACTTTTAGTGTCTGAATCATTTTATGTCCGTAGTATATTTGGATGACAGTTGTATTCAGTCATTTTATTAATATGGATCGGTGCTGTAGACTGGCTCGAAGAGGCCACATTGCCTGGGTAGTTCTTTTAATGCTGGATATATTATGCGATGGTAAGCCCTAACCTCCTGTGTGTTGGCAGACAACACGACAGCGACAAATCAATTTATTAGTATTAGATTGTCAACCTCATTGGACGTAGAAATGGCAATTGGATAGCACTTGGTTCAATACAATTTCGTAGACTTTTGGTTAACTTAACATATCTGTAGATGTCCCCCTTATTGAATGCTTTTATCTGTCGTTGTTTGTTTTTTACTTTATATATTGACAATTTCCTCACACTGCTACATTTTTAGGGTTTTCACTGAAATCAATAACATTTCTAAACAAGCATTGCTTTGAATTTTAGTTTCAGACTGTGCTACACAGGCCGAAATCAATAAACATCTTGAAATGGGAAGAGAATTTTTGTCAAGAGGACAATACCAGGACGCTTTATCCCATTACCATGCTGCTATAGGTAAGTAATTGAAAATTACTGCCACATATTTAGTCTCCAGCTTTTGCATAACTTTCTTCATTACATCTCCCATTTATAGAGGGGGATAATACAAATGCTGTAACATACTTTTCAAGAGGAACAGTTTACCTTGCACTTGGCAAGGCTAATTTAGCTCTTACTGATTTTGACAAGGTCTTGGAGCTTAAACCGGACTTTGTTGCTGTAAGTACACTTTTTCAATTTTGCCCTATTTTTTGAATGGTTTCAATTAAAGCACAGTACTATGATATAATTTTTTGGAAAACATCAGGCAAGGGTTCAACGAGGTCACATTTTATTAAAACAAGCCAGGCTAGAAGAAGCAGGCCAAGAGTTAGAGAGAGTTGTGAGTATTGTTTTATCTGAAATTACCTTTGCATTTATTTTGACTTACTTTATAACCACATTTTCTTCTCAAATTTTAGTGGCAATGGGATCCTCATAATCAAGACGCTGCTCACTACCGGAACATGATTGATCCAGCCAGAGATGATATTGCTCTGGCTCAAGCATACATGAGAGGCCATGATTATCAAGCTGCAGTGGACCTCATATCTAAAATACTGGAGGTAGTTTTAACTCCAACAGAGAGTTGTTGTTTTGTTTGTTATTATTTATTACAGATTCCTTCTTGTTTTAGGTCTGTCCATGGTCCTCAATGCTTAGAGAATTGCGAGCAGAGGCGCACTCTGCTCTTGGTGATAATATGGCAGCAATATCAGATATTCGCTCCACTACACGTTTACTGTCGGACAACACTGCTGGCTTCTATAAGTTATCCCTCTTGCATTACAAACTGGGTCAAGCCCCTGAATCATTGAAGTATGTTAAAAGATTTTCTAGGAAACATTTTGTTGCATCCTTGTTTTGTTTTCTCTATTTATCTTTTGTTTCTGCTTAATTTTTTAGAGAAATCAGAGAATGTCTCAAACTAGATCCAGAACACAAGGATTGTTTCCCACACTACAAAAAAGTTAAGAAAGTTGAAAAACAGTTGACTGATGCTCAAGAAGCACTGCAATCTCAGGATTACAGAAGATGTGTTGACTTGGCAAATAAGGTAAGACACAATTGTCTTTCACTGGAAGAAAAAGCAAACATTTGAAGCGCTTAACAATTTTGTTTTTCGTGACTTCTTCTTGTTTAGGTATTAATTTCAGAGCCACAAGTTGCCAACATTCGTTTCCAAGCTTATGATAAATTATGTCAATGCTACCAAAAAGATGATAAAGTTTCTGAAAGCTTACGTAGTTGTCAAGAAGCTTTAGCCATTCAGATGGATCCAAGGATATTGTGTGATAGGGCTGAGGTTTATATTGCAAGCAGTATGTTTGATGAAGGTTTGTTTTCCATTTTGAGTTTTGCAGTATTGTGAGTTTAAGAGGACTAGGATTAGTAAACTTTCTGTTTTATGCTTGGTGTTCCTTAATCTTTTTTTACAGCTATTCGAGATTATCACAAAGCACTTGAAATTGAAGAAGATTATCAACGAGCAAAGGAAGGTATTCAAAGAGCTCAAAAGCTGCAAAAGCAGGCAGAACGTAGGGACTACTATAAAATCTTAGGAGTTTCTCGAAATGCTGGCAAACAGGAAATTGTTAAAGCTTACAGGTAGTTGTCTTAAAATTATAAATGATACTGTAAGTGCTTTTATGTCCAAATGTTTTACTTCCATTTAATGCAAATTAATGTCAAACCAGGAAAATGGCTCAAAAATGGCATCCTGACAACTTCCAAAGTAATGAGAGTGAAAAAAAGATAGCTGAAAAGAAATTTATTGATATTGCTGCTGCCAAAGAAGTTTTAACTGATCCAGGTAAACAGATCAATCACTATTATGACAATTATTTGACTATGAATAAAAAGTACAACTTTAATTTCTTTCACTAGAAAAAAGGCAAAAATATGATAATGGAGAGGATCCACTTGATCCTGAATCTGGGCACCATCAAGGATTCAATCCGTTCCAACAGTTTCATCAGTTCCATCATGGTAGTCCTTTCCAATTCAAGTTCCATTTTAATTGAGAATGATTTAGTCTCCAAAAAACAAATAATTGTGCCACGGTTTAACAAGGCATTGATAACTTGTACTCATTGCCACTTCTCCTTAAATGATTTTGAACATAGCCACATTCTTCCTGACATGACACTTTTTTGTGGCTTAGAGTAAGTATTTATTGGTTTTCTTCCCTTTTTCTATATTTGGTGTTAACATTTGAGAAGGATTATGTTATACACAATCTATTTGTTTTGAGTACCTGGTCAAGGAAAAAAATGTTCTGAAGCACTAAAAATCAAACTTTAGTAGTTGGCTAGTATTGTGAGTTCACAGCAGTGCCTCCCAAAAGGCGGACTGCTACGGACCACTCCCTCCCCCTCCCATGTAAAAGTAGGCGCAAAAGCGAGTATCCTGCAACAGCCTGCCCTTTTGGAAGCACTGGCTCACAGGCACATTTAACTTGTCTGTTTGCAACAAATTTTCCTTGAAAAAAGTAATTTTGTCCTCTTCTTGTTTTAAAGAATAAGAAACAACCTTTTTGTGGAAATTTGCACCTGTACTCTATACTTGTAGCTTTTATACATTTAATTAATAAAACTGTGATTTACCTTAGTATTGTTTAAAGTGAAGAAGCTTGAGGTCCAAGACAATACTGGTATCTGAAGATTTTGTAAAATTAATTATTAATGGGTCTATTGTTGTGAATGGCTCAAGATACAGTTTTCGTGTACTTATCTTATTGTTCAAAGACACCTACACAGAAAAGCATTCAAAATTGTTAACTATGTTTTCAAGAATTTGTTATAATTTAAGTCATCAGTCTGAGGGTGTGATGGTCCGAAGACCAATGCGACACAAATTGAAATGACATAGTGTTCTTTGATGAATTTTATATTTTTGTGCATCACTGATTTTTGTCCTAGAAGAAATCATGCTTGACAGTTTTTCTGAGCTTACAATAAGATTTGTCTTGGCACAATAGTTTATTCGAGCTTAGTGGGTAGAGAAGACCAGAAAGCAGTTCAGATTGCTGTATTTCTGTGCTTTGTGTTGTACCAAAAGACCCTGATTTGTCCAGCGTTTTCTGCCGCTTGTTTGCACAACAACCTATATGTTCTATTTGCTAAACCACCTACTAAGCTGGAATGCCAAGAATTCATTTTAAAGTAGATGAAGATTCCAACTTTGTTTCTATATCAGCCATTTTATTTTATTTTTTAAACCTCTATCCCACATTTCAAATATTAATGCTGACTTAGCTGACTACTGTTTGTGGTGTGTTCCTATGGAGTTTTCTTTTACTTGCATCACTTCCCTTCCTTCATTTAATAACTTAGCCTGGCATGTGTCATGAAAAAATGTTTTCTCAGATATAAAGTTAAATCTATACTGATTTGGGTAACATCAGTGTGCATATCACTTAATGTGTTAACGCATACAGTTTTCAGTTTTCCTTTTGTGTGCTAAACTTTCTATCAATCTAAAATAACTATGCCACAAATCTTCCTTTCCCAACATTGTTTCTTTTTTCTTTTTGATTTTGTTGAAGACTGTTAATATTTATGTTGTGGTATTTAAATGACCTACTTGAAACTCACTTGAAAGTCCTCTGTATATTTGACCATTGAAGAATTTACACATACTAGGCCTGTATTTATGTAGAAATGATCTCCATGCAATTTCATGTGTTCCTTATCTTTTCATCATAAAATTTCAGTCCTCAAACATTTTTTTTTTTTTGGGTTAAAGTCACGGATTTTCAATATTCATGTCTTGGTTAATCTCCAAGTTGTTGATGAAAAGTTTTGTATGTGATTTGTAAATTATAATCATGAAATTAATTGTGATTTGTTCAGTTTTTTGTTCTTTTAATTTAGCTTTCTGCTTTAATAATTAAAGACTGACCGTTAAAAGAAATTTTGCGTTTGTAAAATTAGTCCTTGGCGTAATGAAGCTGAGTTCATTGACGTTGGATGGTATGACAATGGCAATTACACTGGCATTCATGATCAGAACAATGTCATATGTTGTAAATTTGCGTTGCTGCTGACCATGGCGACCACTGTCGTTTTAGATGGGTTTTCTTACTGGCCATCTAGCTGGCGATGATCAAAGCTATGGGTGGCCGCGGTCGCTGTAGATTTGGAGTTGATGTGCCATTTTTATAAAATTGAAATTCATAGAGAGGGTCCGCTTATTTAGCAGAAATTGTTTCAGTTAGTTAAGGTTAGATCCAATGGTTTGGTTCTCCAATTTGAAAGATCTGAAAAGTTTTATTCAAATAACTTTCTCTAGATGTCAGCCGCTTTCAAGGCCTCTGAATGATTTTTATTTTTTAATTTATCCATAAGACATGTAAAAATATATTATTTACTCAAAAAACAAAAAAGACTTACCAGTCAAAATTTAGTCAGATTCACTCACTGTAACTGTCAAATTCTGCAATTGACTCCATAGAAAGTTTTCCGTGTTTATTGGTAACTGTAGAGCTGTCAATTCTACCTAGCAAAAACCGGGGGCGCCCCGATTGTCCGAAGCTCGTTTGTCCGAACCTAATTTATCTATTTTAGTAAATAGAATGAGTAAAGTAGTTAATTACATTATGTTATTACATTTAGTGGCAGTTGTTGAAATAAGAGCTAAATCAGGTACAGACTACAGACACCAACAGGAGGGCAAACGAAGTGCCTAACTGCAGTTCCGGGCCTAGGGTAAATGAAATAACTTGCGCTATTTCACTAACATAAGTAAATAATCTTATTTTTGAACAAGTCTTGGTTCGCGC